CAGACTAAGGTTCTCCCTGGGAAATTAGACATATAGGGACCATTTTAATGTAGTTGCATCGATACAAGTAATTAAATACATGTAGCAAGGCTCTAGTTTTGGTCTCAATTATATAGAGGCCAGTGTAATGCTGCAGGGTGACCTCTGCATCTTCATTTGTTCCACCAAACTCCAAATAGCTCCAGCACACTGTTTATTAGTATTTTACTATCAATCCACCACCATCCCTTGCAATGTCACAGACTTGCAGCAGACCTGGCACCCTGCAAAATCCTGAAGGCATTCCCCAGAAACAAAGGGAAAGAGATTCAGATGTCTCCTCAGTGACCCGTTGTGCAGTCACCTGTCTCCCTGTTGATATGGGAGGCCATGAGTTAGAATCGAGCTTTGGCAGCCTTCAGCAGTTTAAGTCGCCCCTGGCAGTACCTGCCAAAGGAGGTGGATGGTTTGCATACCTGGAGAGGTTGGCATTGTGTCCCCAGTCCCCACAGCAGGGAGGCAGCAGGAGAGAGAGCAGCCAAAGGAAAAAAAAACAAAGAGCATTGGTGCAGCAAGGGCTGGCCCAAACTGCTCCAGGAAATTCTTACAAGACATTTCCCAAGACTGGGTTACCTTAAAAATCCCAGCGTTGCACTAGCAGTGGGACAGTGCCCTTGTTCCACTGCCGATGGCTTCTTCCACGTCGGTGGGAAGGGCCAGACACTGACAGCATGATGTGCTTCTGCCACATTCATCTTGGATAAGCCATCAGCCTAGAGGTCTTACAGCCTGGGGGTCCTACCATAATACAAATCACAGGAGCACAGGCCACCCGTACCACTGGTACCCTGATCTCTGGTGTCTGGCTCTCATCTCTCTCCTACACCATCTGTGTTGGATTTCCCATGTCCAGAGATGATCCAGAAGCAAATTTCCCCAGGAGCTATCTGGTGAATCCTCCATCCTCTAAAAAGTCCTGCAGATAGCCCTGAAACAGCAGAGTAACCTGGATGGTTTCAGTAAAGGATGTGCCATCCAATATTTTAAGTAATTATGGACAGGAGCAAACACCCGCTGCATATCTTTTAGAAAGGCACAGTTATTTGGCTGTAATACTTTAAAAAATCTTCATATCTTCCATGTCCTAAGGCAATTTCTTTCAGCTGCTAACTTTTCTTTTTCTCTGATGTCCAGTTTGGTTTAATCTTATTTTAACTTGTCAGCCTGGGTGCTGTTACCAGATGAGTAAACACACACTTTTGTCTTCCATGCAATGCTCTGCACTCACCAAATATACTTACATCATCTCAACCCTCTCTTGGATAGCTCACAGATTGACAGGATCTCCCCATGTGCCTTTCTGCCAGGCAGGTTCCCCACTCCTTGAGTTGCTTTCATGGCTCTTCCTGAACCCTTCCTAACCCTCCACTTTCCATTTCAAAGCCTGACTCTGAGACTTGAACAACATCATTGCAGTAGAGGTCTCCTCTCCCACCCGATTTGGGGATTTCCAGGGTTTCAGTGGCAACGTCTCCTGCTCTCATCCCACCACTGACCCAGAGCTGAAGCCTTTTAGGTTCCACCAGACTCCATCACCCTTCTCACCATCCCACCATCCCAGGTCCTGCAACCCCACAGCTGTCGGGAGGGCTTAGCACTCCCCGGCCTGTGCATGGCCCAGCTTTCCAAACCCTCCTGCAGGGATGCTGAGTTGCTCTAGTTCTCTCTCCAGGTGCACTTGCCCACCATTTTCTGTCCATCCTTGCTTTTCTTTGCCAAGCTCTCCATGCTCTGGATGCCTCTTTCTATCACTTCTCTCCCTTCACCAGCTCTGGTGATTTGGTGTTTAACAATTCTGCCGGCATGCTCTTTCACATTGCTAACAAAAATGTTAAATAAAGCCAAGCCCGTGCGGCCTCCTCCACACCACACTGAACAAACACCCTCACAACTCAACACACCCTTCGTGCAGCTCTGCAGCCCCCTGGGCAATACTCTCACTCAGATCAGTCTCCTTTAACTCCCCAGACAAGCTTCCCTGGGGTATGGCCCCGGGATATTTCCCTAATTAAGAGGAGCCTGATTATCCAAAGAAATCAAACCTGGAGCCACTGTGGCCCACGGGGCCTCCAAAAATCAGTGAGACACAGCAGTGAGGTTACCTGTCCCTCCACCACCGTGGCACAAAGGGACTGGCTTGCATGGATGGAGAGATATTTTATTCTTAACAGTAACATCAGGAGATAAATCAGCTTCACCTCTGCTTTAAACTGTGTCTGAAAGAAAAAGGAATTTGTCACTTCTAAAAGGGAATGAGGATGCAGGAGTACCAGACCCTGGTGGAAAACACACCGTGGGCACCAGGACTGCCTCTCCCCTCTGCACAGGGGAAGGATAGAAAGGCAGCCCAGTATAGGCATCCTCACTGCATCCAAGGACTGGTGCTTGGAAACACAAGGCATGTGGCAAATCTTACCAAAAAGTCACAAAAAAATCAAAGCGGGTCAGTAGGAAATTTTCTTGTTCTCGACGTTGACATCCAAACCTCACAATCCCCTTTGGGAAAGCCAAAAATGCTCCAAGTCTTGAAAACCCTCCTGTGTCATTACTCCAGCCAAGTGAGAGTTAAATCACCTCCCAGCAAGCTGGGAACTGCTATTAATGGTGATGGAGGGAGGGTGGAAGCACCACTGCGAGTTGCAGCAGCTCTGTGCTAGGTGCTGTATGTACACACAAAATGCAGTCCCTGCTGGAAAGGTTACAGACCAGACAGGACTTTTAAAACATATTTTCTGAAGCATAAAGGAGGTAAGTTGCCCTCTCTGCTCCCTCATGCCCCCTCCTCCCTCTCCAGCCTGGTCCCAGACCATCCCAGGGCACAGGGCTCTGTGGGGCGAGCTGCCCCCCATGGAGGGTTAGATGATGCATTTTCTAAGCAACAGCAGCTCTGGCAGAAATATTGCATCTCTTGTTACCAGCATCCACACAAGAATAAATACCAGGGTCCCTACCTGTGAGCATGTGAGGGGAGGCAGGGAGAGAACCAGCTCCTCCTTGAAAACAGAAAACAACAGAAATATGGTCCAGTTTTTCCAGCAATTAGCTCCATAGGGATCTCCGTAAGGAGGTCTCTGGTCTCACAGAGGCACCTCCTTTCCTCTCGCTCTCCCTATAATGATGCTACCTCAGCCTTCCAAATTTAATTACATCATGTACAGTGGCTTGGTCCCGGCAAGGGCTGAGTGTCACCAGGAGGCCTTTGAGACCAAGGAAGGTGCTCTGGGAGTCTGAAGGGGAGGCCCCACTGGTGCCTCCAACTCTGCACCTCCAACAGGAAAAACCCAAACTGGGATCAAGCCCCACAACAGTGCGATCCTGCGCGTGGGGTTGCCTTTGTCACGGGTCATCCCATGGTCCCCAGACCACATGATGCCCTTCCCACATCTCTTTAAATGAAGAACGGGGAAGGGACGATGGCAAGGAAGATGCCTTCTTTTCTTCATCACATCGTGTACTAAGAAGTATTTGCCGATAAGCTGATAATCAGGTGGCCTGGCCACCCCCGGTATGTTAGACCTTGCTGCTTAGAGAATATTTGATCATACAGTATCTCCATTAGGAGTTTGTAATCCGCTATCACAGCATTTGAGAGCCATTTGAGTATAAGGAGATTTTTCTTAATGGTTCATGAGCCTAAAAGTCAAAATTGACTCTCAGAGCAGATTTTAACAGTTTGTGCAGCATTTATATATTTATCCATCTCTCCACCACCTCTTCTCCCCTCTGCCATCACCTCCCTCCACTCTGCCGCAGCGCAGAGGTGCAGCAGCAATAACAGCAGCGGGAAGACACTGGGCAGCCCCAGCAGATGGATCAGCTGAACAGAATTTTTCCTTCCCTTCTGTCTTTTTCTGTCCCCCTTCCCTTCCCTTCCCTTCCCTTCCCTTCCCTTCCCTTCCCTTCCCTTCCCTTCCCTTCCCTTCCCTTCCCTTCCCTTCCCTTCCCTTCCCTTCCCTTCCCTTCCCTTCCCTTCCCTTCCCTTCCCTTCCCTTCCCTTCCCTTCCCTTCCCTTCCCTTCCCTTCCCTTCCCTTCCCTTCCCTTCCCTTCCCTTCCCTTCCCTTCCCTTCCCTTCCCTTCCCTTCCCTTCCCTTCCCTTCCCTTCCCTTCCCTTCCCTTCCCTTCCCTTCCCTTCCCTTCCCTTCCCTTCCCTTCCCTTCCCTTCCCTTCCCTTCCCTTCCCTTCCCTTCCCTTCCCTTCCCTTCCCTTCCCTTCCCTTCCCTTCCCTTCCCTTCCCTTCCCTTCCCTTCCCTTCCCTTCCCTTCCCTTCCCTTCCCTTCCCTTCCCTTCCCTTCCCTTCCCTTCCCTTCCCTTCCCTTCCCTTCCCTTCCCTTCCCTTCCCTTCCCTTCCCTTCCCTTCCCTTCCCTTCCCTTCCCTTCCCTTCCCTTCCCTTCCCTTCCCTTCCCTTCCCTTCCCTTCCCTTCCCTTCCCTTCCCTTCCCTTCCCTTCCCTTCCCTTCCCTTCCCTTCCCTTCCCTTCCCTTCCCTTCCCTTCCCTTCCCTTCCCTTCCCTTCCCTTCCCTTCCCTTCCCTTCCCTTCCCTTCCCTTCCCTTCCCTTCCCTTCCCTTCCCTTCCCTTCCCTTCCCTTCCCTTCCCTTCCCTTCCCTTCCCTTCCCTTCCCTTCCCTTCCCTTCCCTTCCCTTCCCTTCCCTTCCCTTCCCTTCCCTTCCCTTCCCTTCCCTTCCCTTCCCTTCCCTTCCCTTCCCTTCCCTTCCCTTCCCTTCCCTTCCCTTCCCTTCCCTTCCCTTCCCTTCCCTTCCCTTCCCTTCCCTTCCCTTCCCTTCCCTTCCCTTCCCTTCCCTTCCCTTCCCTTCCCTTCCCTTCCCTTCCCTTCCCTTCCCTTCCCTTCCCTTCCCTTCCCTTCCCTTCCCTTCCCTTCCCTTCCCTTCCCTTCCCTTCCCTTCCCTTCCCT